GACTCACGGACCGGTACCGGTCTGAGGCCCGGGGGTTGGGGACTGCTGAGTTAAAGGACAGGCATGTTTTAGAGACAACACTAAAGTTATTATATTTGTCCCTAAAAATTTCTGAAACATGATGTCTAACCAGAACGCAAACTCTTGATTGGCATTACGTTAGCCTCCAGTAACATTGTGAGGAACCTGGGAGTCATTTTTGAACTGGATATGTCCTTCAACGTGCATTAAGCAAATATGTGTCGCTGCTTTCTTTCAGGTGGAGTATTGTAATCCATTAATATCAGATTCTTCTAAACGTCTTCTTTTTATCTCTCTGGCTGCTCACAGTTTGTTCAATTACTCACTCATAGATCACTGTCTACTCCAGTTAATTCTGGTGACCTCAAGGCTCTGTCCTGGGTCCTTTACTTTGTATTATATATCTCCTACTCCTAGGTGATATTTTCAAGAAGTATAACATGCAATTTCACTGCTATGCAGATGACACCCAGCTCTACTTATCTTCCAAACCCACAGGTACTCTCCTACCCACAACTATTTCTGATTGTTTAAGTGACATCAAGGTTTGGTTTACTCACAACTTTTTTAAACTTAATGACAATCAAACAGAATTTATTCTAATAGGCACCAAATCAAAACTGACTAAAGTTCCAACCAGAAGTCTTTCATTATCCATTGATAACTCTGACAACAGAGTTATCAATGGATTCTCAGGTCAAGAGTCTTGGTGTCATCCTTGACAGCACTCTTTCCTTCACAGCACTAGGGCTGCCACAAACGATTATTTTGATAGTCGACTAGTCAACGATTATTTTTGCGATTAGTCGACTAATCAGATTGTGCGTCCATTGGACGTAAAACTTACAGCTTATTGCACCAGCATGTGTCTGCTCTTATATAACTGTCATTAGCTTACAGCTTTAAGTGTTTAAGGTATGTGCTAACTAAAAATAAAGACAAGATGATAGTTTATTAAACTTTTAATGAAATTTGCAGATTGTCTCTGTGATGTTTAATAAACTCAGCCGTCTGCTCCTTGCTATTTAAAATATAACAGGACACCGGAGTAAATTCTCGAGCGTCTCACACTTCTGATAATCAGTTGTCTGCTTGACGTTTATTCAGCTGTGTAAAAACTATAACTTTAATCTCAGCCAAACCGATTTACTCAGGAACAAATAAAATACTGAAAAAAGCCAAACAATAACATTTTTAAGTTATCTAAGTGACTTATATATGTTTAACCTGAGTAGTGAAAGATGGCGGTGGGTTTGAAAACGATTTGCCGGGAGTCCGGTGTTCTCACCGGCTCTAATGAGCCTTGAACCCCGGCTAGCTATCGAGCTGTTGGGTAACAGACGTCTCCGAAAACGCTTTTTTGGAGGGGGTTTGAAGTAGCTCCTTTTTAGGGACTAAATTGGTGCGCTGTGATGCATCAAGCATTCCTTCTCTACTCGCCTCTTTTTTTTTTTACTCCCCACATGCTTATATACTGTAGCTTATGATTCAGTTTTTTGGTTTTGTTCTGACTCATTGCCCTGTCTTTTTCCTTTCTATCCGAACACCCACAACTGGATATGGCAGATTAGGAGCCAGGTTTTGCTAGCTGTTTCTTTCTGTTAAAAGAGAGTTCTACACTCCCCACAAACTGCTTGCTTACAGGGGACTTTTTAAGTTTTGGCGTTTTCTCCCAAATACTTTTAGGTCCTATGTAAGTAAACCTGAGTTTAATTGAAAAAAGTACAACTTTTTTTTTTTTAAATTTAAAAAAAGAATTTATAGCCAAGTATCCTTTGGAGGGCAGAGAGAAGCTTTAGACATGTCTGAACACTGTTCTCTGTCACAGTAAACATCCTCACTCGAGCCTGTTCCTGAGAATTTATCAGCAGGCAGGTTTCTGATCTGCTGAGATTCCTATCCTTCTCATATTGCGACTAATAGAAAGAACAGTTCATATGTAGAAACGAGGAATAGCTTGCTGGTTGTTGGTTATGAGTTTGGGTAGATAAAAAAATGCTTTGGTTTCTTAAAATATTTGTTTATACATTCCTTGCAATGAAAATTTGAGATCATATTTAGATTAGCATGTTCGACTATATTTTGTTTTCGTGCAATCATTTATCACATTGCTGCTTTGGTCAGAGGCAACAGAAATAAGCAGACAATAGCAGAATATGTAAAGAAAGAAATGCCAAGCTTAGTGACCTACCTTTGATGCAGGTCAATCTGTACTCCTTATAGTGAAGAGGTCAACTTTTGTACATCAGCACCTGTTTGGGTTTTAATGACCTAAATTGCTCCTGCGAGTTATGTTGCTATAATTCATTTGAAGTCCTGCAGTGAAGAGTCATTTCTTTTGGTGCCATCAGCAGCAGTAGCGGTAGTGTCAGCAATATATTCAAGCTAAATTGAATTGCTTTCTTGTCTTCTCGTCAGGAGGTTTCTTTCTCAGAGCTTGATGTTGCGTTGTGAGTGAGCCACAGTGGTTTGTAATTGTGTGGAGTATTCTCTTGTTGTGTTTGCAGCTGATTATGTCTCTCCTCCCACAGCCCCATGAGACAAGTCCGGCCCTCCCTGGTTACTAGCATGAACACCCAATCACACACCTGACATAAGGAGTCATATTCACACACTTCACACACACACACACACACACACACACTTTCTTGCTATCTCTCTCTCTCTCCTGCTCACTTGTGTATTACATCAGTATTCTTGTTTTTTGCTTGTCTTCGAATCTCATTACCTCAAGTTTCTTCTTTCTTTTTTCCTCTCAGATAAGATTAGTTCCAGTTTATCTGCCCTGTTAATGGTGTGCAGCGTGACTCGTCTCTTGTTCACAATCTTGTTGCCTCTTGCAGTTACGAAAAAAAAAAGAAGATTTTGGTTGACTTGTTTACTAACTGACTTCATGCTAGGTTGTGTCATTTTTAGGGATCGTAACAACAGAGTGACAGACTTCATAGCGGCCCACAGAGTTTATTTGCTGCTTGGTCAGCTCCCGAGATTATCTCTGTTGTGTTGAACAGAGCACATGGACACGGTCCACACCCAGTGAGCCTGCATTACAACCACACAATGGATCCCCTACTTGTTACTCAGGGGTTTAATATTTGTTTTTGAATATGGGTGTGTGTTTTCCTATTAAAAGCATTCATCCTGTTTATATATGTTTAGAGACACAAAAACCTAAGCCTTTTTCTTTTTAATCGCAAGACTTTCACAAATATGTAAGCCAATTTGTTTCATACAGGGTTCTCGTTAACCAGTATTATCCTGTATTTCTATTAGCAAACTTACAAACTGTTGTGGATAAATGAAATCATAATTCAAGTGCTACTTCTGAAACCAAAGGGACGATGAAAACAACAGCAACAATGAAACAAATGACATTTTAATTTGGATCTGGAGCAAATATTAAACTTTTGATTTGATGTGACAGAATGGTTTATTGTATTGTGAAAATCTCAAGTGTCAAACATTTGAAATAATAACATAGAATAACATTTCTTTGTCTTTGTCATTTCATCGATGTGTGCGTGTCTGACTGACTGTATTCGTGGCTTTTTGTTTTGTTTTTTCCCCTCTCATGCTTCACAGAGTTTAGCCAGTCATAGGCAGGCGGCATGCAAATAAAATGGAAAAGGGACGTGTCCCGACACGGAAATTATCTGTGGGTTGATCTAATAGTTTTGTTATTTAATGTTGAGTTCTAGGTATGTGTGGATATTAACGGCTCATGGAAAAAGCAAAAGGCATATTTAAAAAAAAGTTTTACTGCGAATTCCTGCAAAAGATGCAAACGAGCAACATTTAATGAACGTCCATTGAGAAAGTTAAAAAAACAAAACAAAACTGATTTGCAAGATGGATTGGACTACATGTACTTACACGAAGTGAAACTGAAAGCAGTCACTTTTTCAGAGAAAATCATTTTAAACTAGCCTGACAGCCAAATATGTATATTTCAAAATACCTTAAATGATGTTAATTACAATCAACAATCAGTTTTGTTACTTCCTGTTTTGCCACAAAATTTATAATGCATATACAACCAGACAATGTTTTATCAATGCTAGCAGGCGGCAGCTTTTAAAAGTGTAAGTAATTGAAAGGCACTTTTTTAATCCTCCTTTGCCAAGAAGCTACTGTCACTGATAACAGTTTACCTCATTCAAAGTGTGAATCTATTGAAAGGAGGCGCTAGCAATAGCATTATACACAATACTAGTAATAGAGAATTATACACAATAATAACACAATTAACAGTAAAATAAGCTAGTCGTGTTTCCCTGGAAATTTCAAGTAAAGGTTTAACGTAACTCCTTAGCACTTTAGTTTACCTATAACTAAAAAAACTCACTTTTTTACTCGTTCGGAGCCTGCATAGTATTTTAGTTAAAAACTTTTATTCCTTTTTCAATAAAAATGAAAAAAATATTTTCTACATTGGATGTTGTATCTTGGGTCACGTTTTTTTAACCAACCACTTAAAGTCCTGCTTTTCCACACCAGTATTTTCCATCCAAGACTTGCTCTATATAGAGTGCAGCTAGTGATGCTTGGTTGAGTGTTTACTTTACTTTAGGATTACACAGCACCATCCTTCATAGCTTGCTCTGCTGAATGGTGTGTTGTTTCCTCAAATAGTAAAACAGGTCTGTTGTTTCCACCTTGAGAAAGAGAGGAGGTTTATGTGCAGGTTTTGCAAAACATCTTGCTTTGTTGGGGGTTGTTGAAGTAGTTCCCTTTTTAGGTACTAAATGGTAAACAGAGGTTGACACAGAACTTGCTCATTGCTTCATGATTTCAGATAATATATGTGAAAGTCCTACCTCATATTTAATTTTAAAACAGTTGTGCTGGATAACAGTGCATTAGCAGAAATAACACTATATGGTGAATTTCTTCTGCCTTTACACTTGTTGCCAAACATGTTTGCCTTTTCTAAATCCCTTTAAGACTCGCTTATCTGGAATATAATGTTTGTGTTATAGTGTGGGGATCCATTTAAAGATGACGATATTGTTGTGCTCAATGGCAACAAGGAGGAGGTGGACAAGCTGAGGGAGAAGATGGAAGAGAAGCGGGCCAAAGCTAAAACTAAGGTGTGTGACTTCTCTGCTTTTTGATAGAATCTGTCTTCACAACTGCAAAACCCTGAAACAAGTATTCTTTGATTTTCAGAAATCAAAGAAGAGTAAAGCAACTGAAACGGTGTCAACATCAGAATCAAAAGGTTTGTGTGAAGCCTAGTAAGTAGGTCATCGTATGTGTTCAGCATTTGCATGAACAAGGCCAACGAACTAGGAAAAAGGCCAGAAAATTTTCTTCTTCATTTGGATAATATTTTGAATGTGCTGTAATGTACTAGCTGGGTTATTTAAACTTTTAACTCATAAATGTGATATATAGTGTGTGGCCAAGCAAATGTTCACTTCAGTCTAGTTAGTCATACTTTGTACATCAATGATGGACATTATTACTTTATCTTATTCTGGTTTTGCGGTAATGTATCAGGCTGGTTTTGTCATATGTCATTTACTGACATACAGTGTTTTTCATAATTCCTGTGCAAACCTAGATCCTGACACATTTCCAATAACACAGGATTAAGTGTTACTGTAAAAGATTAGTCATAGAAATAAGTAATATTGGCCAATATCAGCCTTTTTGACTGTCTTTCACCTTTTTGCATGGAAAGAAAGGGGGGGGGGGATCTTTCCACAGTTTTACAATTGTAAATAAAAATGTAAAAACTTTCCTATATTATACATTTCCTATAATTGTGAATGTGTCTTACTATTTCCAGTTGTTTTTCTTACTCTTATAAATGAGCCAAGAAATGCAAAAATAGTCACACTGAACCAGACTCTGTAGATCTGCAGTCTAACCTGATGTTAATTAGTCTAAATTGAAGGTGTCAGTGTTGTGTGCCAACAGAAAACATTGCCGTGGTTTCCTGTTTTCAACAATAGCACAACGCTCTCAACTCACAAACAAGACTAACTGAGAAACCCCAGAATTCGATTTGTTTTTACTCAGATTAACACTCCAATGCATAGCTGGACTGGCCATCAGGCATACCGGGCATTTGCCGTGGGGGGGTGGGGGTGATTTTTCGTTTTTATGGGCAGATGTTTGTTTTTTTGGGGTTTTTTTTTTCTTTACGTAACGGTATAAACAATGAAAGGTGGTGGATTGGCCAGATGCTGGCAGATGTGTAAAAATAACTCAACAGCTTGGTGGTGGCTATGGCGGAGCTTCCATAGATTCAGTAACATTAGCAAGTGGCTGGTCTCCACCACTTGGAAAGGTGGGAAAGGTGAGGCAGGAGGAGGCTGCTAAACAGCAGCAACACTTAAGGTTTATAAGTTGTTGTTGTTAGAATTTACTTAATATTACTTTCTAGTATGAGCTGGCGTTTGCTGGAGCCACAGCTGTAAAAAAAAGTTTTATTCTTTCTCACCTGTCTTTCTGTCTCCTTTCACTTTTTAAAGGTTGCCATGTTAGAAAAAATATTTGCCCTGCCATTGACGTGGTAAATAAATAGTTTATGAAAATACCACTAACTTTATTATTTTTAATATTCAGTAATGATCATGTCTCACCTCTAGTCTTCTCTGTCTTAATTTCAGGTTTCCACCATGTGTTGTAGATAGTTCAGGAGGTTAACTCGACCAAGCAGTCTTTGGGTTTCGGCTAAGTACTGTTTAGAATACCAGAATAGGGAGGATGCATTGATGCATATACACCAACAAAACAGTGTACATCACTGTTACAACAGCGTTCGTGTTTTCATTCAAAGGCTTTCTGGTTTTTCCTATAATACCTGTTTGGCCAGTCTCTAGTCAACATGCCCGGGCCGATTTTTTTGTCCCAGTCCAACCCTGCTCCAACGTATTTCACTGAACAGTATAAGTCCACTCAACTTACACAGTCTGGGAAAAACATGGCCCAGGGGGTTGAACAGTTGTTTACCAGTTGGTGGGTCTGTGGATCAATTTGCCGGGCACTCCAGTCAGTGCATGTCTTAAAGCATACATTGGAATGTTTTTGTGGATGAATGTTTGACAAGGTATAGAAAAAAGTGCTTGTTATGAATGTGTGTGTGATTGGGTGAACGAGGGTTGTAGGAAGAAAGCACATTTAGTGCTCAGTTAAAAGGCGCTACATAAGTATTAGTGCTTTCAACCATTTATCCTCTGTCTTGCCTGATTGCTTTCCACACAGACGGCACAGTGTCTCCTCCCACTGATATAGCAGGAACAAGCTCGCAACAAAATGGTGGTGACAGCAGCCAGTCAGGTAAATAACAATACTTGGATCTTTTACGTACAGACAAATAGTCTATTGACATTGCATTGTCTTCACAAATCTCTTGAAGCCGACTGTTTTAAAAACATGAATGTGGTTTTCTGTATGTAATTCATTCAGCCCCTTTTTTTATTAACCTTCTAAGACCCAGCAATGAATTTTTGTCCTCTGACTGAGACTGCTACATTAAGCACCATTTATGCTATCTATACGACTCCTACTATACTGTCAATGGGACATGATGGGCTTTTTATTAATGCCACATTTGTGGAGGTTGCAGAGCACTTTCTTTTCAAAATGATGGAAATTGCAGCTTCCACAGATTGGCATGCATTGTGATTCTATTGCTTACACTCAGATTGTTTCTTCAATTTGAGAGTCTTAACTTTGACTTTGATTTCAGAAATGTACAATAAGTTTATCCCTTCCAAAACAAAAATTGTATTCACTGTCCTTTGTATTGAACAGCAGGACTTACTACTTACATTTTCAACCAGTGTCCATACTTCCGGTAGCAGAAGGCAGGATGAAGCAGAAAGATAATTTACTCAGAACTATGGAAGAGGAGTCAGTGTTACTGCTGTCAGGGGATGAGGTGGACAAAGGCCAGACATCAGAGTAGGAAGGTGGAAGCTCAGAGGCTCATCATCTTTAAAGGAATTTACGAAGGGGTGGTGTGACTGTACCTACCATCCATAATAGGAACTGTTTAATGTAGGGTTCTCATTTTTAGGCATTTTAATATCTAGAAGGGGAAATAAAAACCTATTCAGTTGAATTCACACACTCACATTCCCACCAGCTAAGATTTTGATTTCTTCTCTTATTTTGTCAAGTCATGTAATTTATGCACTTTCAGCATATATATTATTAAACTCTACATCTGCTATCTTTATCAATTCAATTTGGGTTACATACTGAAATTGGGTTGGAAATTCTATAGGTAACATGAAAACAGGAAACCATTGTCTGGTGGTTGTGTGTAACAGAAAATAGGCAACCAGGTTATAGAAAAAAAAAATCACCACACAAACAAGAGGGAAATGGTCATTTCTGAAGGTGGCATTGGAACTGAAACATTGTTCAGTTTATTTGTTGTCACCGCTTGTAAAGATAGTTTAAAATCTGAATTTACTGGTTCCTAATTAAAGCCAATTCATTAAGTTGAGAGAGCTTCATTAACATTGGGCAGTCTAAGTAATAATGACCTTAATGTCACAGCTAAGTGGGAGCAGAATAAAGCACTCTGGAAAGTGAATAGAGAATGCAATAAGGCTGCCATGAAGTATGATTGATTACCTTCACAGTTTGATGTCCTGCATAACAGTTGAGAAACCAGTAACTACCCACAACTTCAGAGCCTTAGCTTATACAATCCTTCTTGTGCATAATGGGCGATGGATGTTATCATTTTGCCAGGCTCCTCAAAAGCTGGTATGAACTTTTCACTCTGTCTGAAATTTCACCTTCGTGCTCTAATGTCTTGCTCTTGTCCACCTCATTTCTTGACAGCTCTAAATTTGACTCCACTTCCACAGTTAATTTAAGTATTGTTTCAAAGAAAAAATATCTAAACGGAAATCTATCACACATTTTTTCTTCTAGGGCTCAGGAGGTTAATGATCCATGTTCAGTCTAATGTTCAGTGTTTTACCACTGATGTCCAATTAAAGTAAAATTCTACTGTAGTTAAAATGTCTATGAAGTGTTCTCAGTCATCCAGGTCATCGTAGTTTAAGGGGCTTGGAAAGAAAAGCGTCTGGACTTCTTTAAGTTTCCTTGAAGACATTTCACCTGTCATCCGAGAAGCTTCTTCAGTTCTAAGAGCAATTGGTGGAGAGTCCCAGATTTTAAACCCTATGGGAGTGTCCCCAAGAGGGTCATGGACCCCCTATTGATCCTTTACCTAATCACACGAGCCAAGGTGTGAAAACGGGTGTGGGTCCCAATCAGCCAAGGTTTTGGATGAACCCATTGTGAAGCCTAGCCCCACCCTGTCATGTGATTTACTGAGGTCAAATCTCCCAGAATGTGAGTGGGCATTAAGGCGTCTAGGAAGGGATCTCAAAACTGGATTATAGATGGCAGACAGCTGGTGTCGTAAGCCACCGCTTCTGTTCGAGGATGGTCGCTCACAATGGACATAAATGGCATATTTCACTCCTCTTTCAAACCATCTGTCTTCTCTGTGAACATTGGCATCCTCGAAAGAGTGACCTTTGTCCTTTAGATGCAGGTGGACAGCCGAGTCTTGTCCCGTGGAGGTGGCTCTTCTATGTTGTGCCATGTGTTTATGAACTGGCTGTTTCTCCAGTGTAGAGGTCTGAGCATGCCCAGTTCCCTGTACAGCATACACTACGTTGTTAAGTTTGTGTTTAGGAGTTTTGTCTTTGGGATGAACCAGTTTTTGTCTGAGTGTGTGGCTGGGTCTGAAGTACACTGGGATGTCGTGCTTGGAGAAAACTCTCCTGAGTTGCTCTGATACACCTGCTACATAAGGCATGACAGTATTGTTGCATTTGTTTTTTCACACCTTGGCTCGTGTGATTAGGTAGAGGATCAATAGGGGGTCCATGACCCTCTTGGGGACTCTCCACAGGTCTTAAAATCTGGGACTCTCCACCAATTGCCCTTAGAACTGAAGAAGCTTTTTGGATGAGAGGTGAAACATCTTCGACTAAACTTAAAGAAGTCTAGACTCTTTCCAAGCTCCTTAGACTATTGTAGTTAAAGTAACATCTAATGGGTATTATCAACCTGTGGGGAGGGACAAGTCCTTATTTTTAAAGATGCCTTTTTTTTGTCTCTTTCATCCTACTACTCAGCTGTGGCTGGACCCTCTGGATCTTCCAGCTCGTCTAAAGCGACCAAGTCTTCATCAGCCTCTGCTACAAAGAGGTCCATCCAGGAAATGAACGAAAAGTCAGAGGCTTTTAAGTCTTTGTTCACAACCCACAGTTCTGCCAAGCGCACTAAAGATCAGACATCCAACTGGGTCACCCACACCCCTTATCACTTCTAATAACTACTAAAGTGCATAGATCACAGTTTCTAGATCTTTCCAGAAATATTAGCATATTAAAATAAATCTTGCTGTGCATACCAAGCACACACACCAACCCTACATGACCTCAGATATTGACAGCGATATGTGGGCTAATTCCCAATTTCTCTCTCCAGTTCCCAGTAGCTCAGTGTTTACATGTTGTGAACATTTAGTTGCGGCTCCCTAAGGGGTTCTGAGTGTGTGCTTTGTAACTTAATTCCTCCCCATGGATTCCCTCACAACCTCTTTGTTCTCAGTCACAGGTGCTTGAGGAATTAATACTAGGAATGCTAGGATGACTGTATTACAGTGGCACTCTGCTTCCCCCTAATGGGCAGAAAATAGCTTTTTAATGTGCTCACAGGATTGCTGCATTTATTTTAGTCCTTAGTTATGATAAGAAAAATGAAAAAAGACAAACTGCCCTGCATTTGAAAAGGCAGATCCTCAGTAATTAGTATCTCCAGATTTTCCTTCCTCACAAAATCTAGTTGTATGTGCCTGGTAGCTATTTATTTTGGCTTTTTTTTAACAGGTGTAGCAGGTGACTTTCACTCACTTTTGTTCTTTTAATTAGTTATTTCTCAATTGTTCTTTGAAACGGGGGGAAAACTAAAGCATTTGGTGTATTTGACTCCTCTGATTTGCAAAATAACCACCACATCCAGACCAACAGCTTTAATGCGATTGGGGAAATATACTCAATAACTAATGCTTTTTTTGTTTTTGTGCATTTTTGTCTGGACTTTAATGGAAGACCTTTAAAATAAAAAGTTACATTGTATTATTGTCTCCAATTGAATTCATATTGAGGTTAAATGTGCTTGTATAGACAGTCAGTACATTTACAACATTTACAAAGAAATAAAAAAATGCTTTGTTCTTCCTTTTTGCTTTTTTTTTTTGTATCAAGCAATGCCACAATAAATTTCTATTCACAGTATTTTAGTGTTGTTTTTATGGTGCAGATTATATTACATCTTTGTGTTCTCTCTTCTGTAACACATTACCAAGTGCATAACAGAGCATTAATTATCCAAGATCACAAAAGCAAAACCAAATCCCTGTTGTGCACTTGAAGGGAAACATCACACCTAACACAAGCTATAAAGAACTCTGACGCAACAACAAGTCTCCCTGCAGTGATAATGTGGACAGTCATATTTTTGTAATTAGGGCTTGTATCTCACAGTAATGAGACAACCAGGAAGCAACTGAAAAAACAGACTCAGCATAAATCCACAAAAAAAACAACAACTTTTGAGTATTAGTGGCATTACTTACAGTCAGGGAAAAAAATATTTGAACCCCTGCTGATTTAGTAAGTTTGCCCACTAACAAAGAAATCATCATTATCAGCTATATTTTCAACGGTATGTTTATCTGAACACTAAGAGACGGAACAAAAACAAAAAAAGAATGGATTTCAAAAAAGTTTTTAATTCCATCCATTCGCAAATTTAATGAAGGAAATTAGTATTTGATCCCTTTGCAAAATGTGCTTTAGTACTTGGTGATAAAACCTTTGTTGGTATCTTGCAGTTGGCCACAAAGTTTTGCACACATCTCAGGGATTTTGTCCCACTCCTCTGCAGATTCTCTTCAAGTCAATAATGTTTCGTGGCTGATCTTCGGCAACTCGAATCTTCAGCTCCCTCGAAGGATTTTCTGTGGGATTAAGGTCTGGAGACTGACTAGGACACTCCAAGACCTTCATATGCTTCTTCTTGAGCCAGTCCTTTGTTGACTTGGCTGTGTGTTTCGGATCATTGTCATGCTGGAATACACATCCACGACACATTTTCAATGCCCTGGCTGAGGGAAGGAGGTTCTCACCTAACCATCCTCCCTTTGATGCAGTGCGGTTGTCCTGTCCCGTTGGGAGAAAAACACTGACAAAGTAAATTGTTTCCACCTCCATGTTTGATGGTGCGGATGGTGTTTTTGGAGTCATAGGCAGGAACCTTGGAGTCATTTTTGACCAAGACATGTCCTTCAACACACATATTAAACAAATATGTAAGACTGCTTTCTTCCATTTGCGCAACATCT